CAGTCCGCGCACTTACCACGCACGCAGAGCAGCGACATGGCCGAGGTGCCGGCGAGCCGCCGGCGAGGCTCCGCCGCGCCTCCGCCGCTCCGCCGCACCCTCTTTCCTTTCAGCAGGTGCCGCGGCTTTTCCCGCTATCGGCTCCACGGGTCTGGCCGCTCCTCATGGTCCCTGTTGCAGGCAGCGTTCTGCTGCTCCCTCGGACCAGCTCCAATTCTCACCGACTGAGGGGGCTCCCGATAATTGTGAGTACCGGCCGGCAGGCGGTGTACTGGGCGCGGCACCACGGCGCCATCGCTGAGAGAAAGGAGCGACCAGGACTCCCCCCTCCCTCCACTCCACCCGGGATCCTTGCGGCCGCCTGGATGGAACCAACCCGCGGCGCCCCGCCTCCCAGCCAATCAGCTCACGCCCAGTCCACCGACCCCGCCCCCTTAAGAGACGTAGGAGGCGGAGTCTCCCTCGGCTTTCCCAGTGTGTAAGAATGAAGGCAGCTCCGCCACTACGGAGGCTTAAAGCAGAGAGGGGTGCGCTTCCCCTCACCGGTGTGAGGTGAATACTGAAGCCCTCTGCTTCTCCCTCCTGGGCGGCCTCCCGCCGAGAACACAGTCTTTTCATTGATGATTTCCATTGGACTTCCTTAAAGGGTCTATCCCTTAGCTGATGAAGTACTTACCCGTAATAATTTGACGAGATTGTACCACACAGCATGGAAGTTTTGTTTTTGTTAATCCTCACCCGAAGATATTTTTTCTATTCATTTTTAAAGAGAGTAAAAGAGAGGAAGGGAGGGAGAGAGAAACATCAATGGGAGAGACACATCGATTGACTGCCTCCTGCACGCATCCAAACCTAGCCTGGGATTAAACCTGCAACCCAGGTGCATGCCCTTGATCTGGAATCGAACCCGCGACCCGGTGGTCTGCAGGCGGAGGCTCTAACCACGGAGCCAAACCTTCCGCTGCTGGAAGTTCTCCATTAGCCACCACGCGGAGGCGGAGGGCGGGGTGGGGACATGAGTGAGCGCAAAGAAAAATGTCTGGAGCCCTCAGTTGTTATCTAGACCTTTTTCCATGCTCTCCATTGTGTCTCCAATGTTTGAGTGGTGCCAAGTGTATAGTAATTAGTCCATAAATACCTACTGATTGAAGAATGGAGGGAAGATAGGCTTTTTAAGCTGAGGACTTCTAGCAAGAAGTCCACATACTATGGAAGTTAAAAAGACCAGAGCAGAAAAGAGAAGACACATGGTATGATGTACACCCCACCACCTCAAAATTCTGATTTAATTGGTTTGAGGTAGAGCTGAGGCATCCTGTTTTTTAAAAGCTCCCCAGATGATATACATAGCCCATGGACACAGACAACAGAGTGGTTGAAAGCCAGGAGAGGGGTAGTGGGAGCTAGGTGGAGGTGGGCAAAAGGAGGGGAAATAGGGGACATCTGTAATACGGTCAACAATAAAAAAATATATAAATAAATAAAAATTTTAAAGTAAGTTATCCAGGGTCACAAAACAGCTCCCCAGATGATTCTAATGTGATGCCAGGTTTTAGTGCCATTAGACTAGGTGCTTTCTAAGGCCTCATTAGGCCAGCTCAGGTTTCAGGTTTGCAAGCTCTGGGCCCCATAGGATTCTTCCTGCTAGATCCAGGAAGGGTCTGTCAATCTAATAGGGTCTTTGCCTTCCAAAATCAAGCCTAGCTACCATGTGATTCCTCTCACTGGAATAGGTGCTATGAGAGAGTAACACTAGGAGCCTGAAGAAGGAAAGGAGACTTATCTTTCCAGTGTTTATTCAAATTTGAAGCAATACATTGAGAAAAATTTTAAGCAGGGCAACTCAGAAAGCCTAATCAACAGAAATGCCTGACCCTAAAGACAATGGGCATTCTCTGTGCTGCTGGATTGGAATATCTAGCTATTTAGCCCAGCTGTCCTAAACTACAAGAGAAAGAAACTAAAAAAGTGTTAAACTTCTGGACTGTGGAACTGACTGAGAACAGAGAAAAGCAAAGCTCTAGTGACATAGAAGCACAGAGCAGACTGACAAATCTCAGAGGGAAGACGGGGATGGGTAGGGGAGAGGGAAGGGGGAGACTAACCAAAGAATTTATATGGACACAGACAATAGTGGGAAAAGCAAAACTTTTATGGAACTAGGGATTCTCCTAGGAGATGCAGAAGCCATCCAACAAAGAATGGAAAGTCACTCTGCACTTGGAAACAATGTAGAGTAGTGGGAAACAACCTAATAAAATTGTGAAGAGCATGAACTTTGGAATCAATCAGATTCACCTGGTGTATTATCTATTGTCATGTAACAAACTGCCCCAAAATTTAATAACTTAAAACAACATTTATTATCGCACAGTTTCTGTGGGTCAGGAATCTTGAATATGGCTTAACTGGATCCTCTGGTTCAAGGTTTCTTACAGACTGCAATCAAAGTACCAGCCTGACGACAAAGGATCCACTTCCAAGCTCACTCATGTTATTGTTGGCAAGACTCAATTCCTCCTGGGCTGTTGGACTGAGAGCCTCAGTTTCTTATTGGCTATTGGCTGGTCTCAGTTCCTTGTCATGTGGCCCTCTCCAAAATGTCAGCTTGCTTCATCAAAGTATGCAAGCTAAGAAGGCAATAGTGTCTGCTAAGCAAGATGGAAGTCATAATCTTTTGTAGCCTAATCACAGAAGTGACATCCCCTCATTTTTGCTGTATTCTGTTTATCAGAAGGGATTTACCTAAGGGGATTACCTAAGAAATTGAATACCACCAGGAGGCAGGATCTTTGGGGCGCCCATCTAAAAAATCTGCCTACCACACCTGAATTTTTGTTCTAGCTCTGATACTTGTGACAAATATCACTTGGGGGATGTTAGGCAGGAAAGATAGCCATCTTGGGGAAGGGGAAAAGAAGAGGGAGTTTTATCTCACCCACTAAACAAAGAAGTCAGCAGTCTTAAGACTTGACAAATAAGATGACCAAATGTATGTACAAACATTGCCAGATAAGCCACAGCGATGCAGAAGGGGACTTTGAAACCTAGTCTGATACTCAAAATATCCTGCAGGGAAGCTTTGAAACCTATAGGGAAAAGGGTATAAAGCCCCTTGAAGCCCCACCTGGCAGTGGGCTCAGACTAGCTGGATTGTCCGCTTGTGCTTTATGCCAATTGTATTCTTTTTGTTTGTTTTAATCCTCACCTGAGGATTTTTCCATTGTTTTTCAGAGAGAGTGGAAGGAAGAGAGAAACGTGGACGTGAGAGATGCACCTATTGGTTACCTCCCAAACGCACCCCAACCTTCCTGCTTATTCCCTATTAGTGAATTAAATAAATCTTTGACATGTGTTCATTCTATATTCTTATAACAATCTTGCTTTTTAACTTTTATGAAATTGTACTTTGACAGTGTTTTCAACAAAAGGCACTGGATCAATTGGATAACCACATGGCAGGGGGGAGGGGAGTGTGGATCTTGACTCCTACCTCACACCATATACAAAATCTATTCCAGATGACTTGTAAGAGATAAAATGATAAATCTTATAGACAGTAACATAAGAGAATATATTTATTACCTTGGGGTAGACAAAAACTTCTTAAAAAGGGCGTAAAATGCATTAACCATAAACTGTGAAACTGAATAAAGGAAATTTCATTTAAAATGAAGTGCAGCCCTAGCTGGTTTGGCTCAGTGGTTAGAGCGTCGGCCCCCCAGACTGAAGGGTTCCAGGTTTGATTCAGGCCAAGGGCATGTACCTCAGTTGCGGGCTTGATCTCTGGCACAGTCAGGGTGCATGTGGGAGGCAACCAACCCATGTGTCTCTCTCACATCAATGTTTCTCTCTCTCTTACTCTCTCTCTCCCTTCCACTCTCTCTGAAAAGTAATGGAAAAAAATATCCTCAGGTGAGGATAAATAAATAAATAAATATAAAATGAAGTGCAGAGCCCAGTAGGCGTGGCTCAGTGGTTGAGCATTGACCTATGATCCAGGAGATCCCAGTTCGATTCCTAGTCTGGGCACATGCCTGGGTTGCAGGCTC